CGTTTTCGGCTGCATATTTCACTACTTGCAGCTTGTAATCTGCAGAATATGATTTTCTTTTGGGGGCATTTGTGGTCAGTCTTTCTCAGTTGTCTTTATAAGTTGATGTTTACATTTTCAGTGGTACAGTAGTGATAGGCGCGTAGATACTGGCACACAAGCCGAGAGTGCCCTCTCGCGGCTGTCAGTGTGAAAATAACGAACACGTGAAATTTCAATCTACGGTAATATTTAAAAAAAACATACATAAGTCGCTCCGGAGTATACGTCGCAGGACCAGCCAAACCATGAAAAAAAGTGCGACTTATAGTCCGGAAAATACGGTAATTGAATCACTTTGCATGTTAATGGGGGCTTTTATCCCCAAGCATCATTTACTTTGTATATCTGGTAAAGATATTTTGGTTTGACTTATTTACACTTGCACATGCTCTTGCTCAGGTTTCCAGAGCGGCCCTATTTTTAATGACAGCCAACTGAATGGGACGATATGACACTCCTACAGTGCACACCACTTCTTAAACAAAGGCTCTACAGACAGCAGCTGGCAACAGTTAAGCTGTGTTTTAAAATAATACAACTCTCAATATGACACATCCTGGAATCGCAGTCTGTAATAAAAGACGAAGTACAAAAGCAATCGAGAGCTGCAGCCTTGAACCTTGATTCAGATGTTGGTAGGTCCATTTGTAGGTTTTATTTAAAGCCAAATAAATATTAGGTAATAAATAACTACGTCCATTCTAATGTGTCTTCTATGATTACATTCTTAGTTCTGCCATAAAGAGACAAGCTGAATATCAACCATCATTTAATAAGCATCATCATCGATTTACGCTCCTGCTTATCGATTTAATATCGGACATTTAGAAATTCCTGTCTGTTTATTACACCTTACAGGAATGTATTACTTCCACTCAATAAAATATCAAAATAAGATTTGGGATTTTCAACGCATTGAACGGTATTGTGATATAATCCCTGCACACAAACAAATGTGCATTTGGTGAAACTATCCACCAGACAACTCTGATGCTGAACTTTGCTCTTCTCTTCAGGTTTCATCTACTAACTGTGGCCTGAAGTAAGCAGGTGGATCATTAATCATGTACTTACTGTCTGATATGCTACACTTCATATGAATTAAGACAAATCTCCTTTTAAAAGAAATGTTTTGGATAAAAACAGACAGCATGGGTTTATTTTTATGAATAATCATTGAAGACCAATTGTATAATCAGGATATTAAACATTAAAAGCACTAAATTAATCTTTACAGCACAGTAACACGTAGCAAATTCACAATTGTGAACTCATCTAGACTTCAAGCCTGTAAGCAAAGTGAATTCACTACATGTCTCTACTATAAGAACACCAGGCTTTTGGAATCAAATTATTATTATTATTTTCTTACAGTACGTGTGTATAACCTGCTCTTTGACCCAACCTTTACAGTGTCCCTGTGCTCTGCTGCCCACAACCTCCAATGTCTTTGGAGTCACTACAAATACAAAAAAAGCCTAAACGGCCTTTGGCTGTCACTGGGTCTAGGCGCTAGAGGAGCATCAAGCACAGACTTGCACACTGCTGGAAGGATCTATTACAGGGAAAAAATTGGGAGAAGGCACAGTGTGACCAGACTGCTGCCTGAAGAGAAGACAGCAGAGAACACTGAGGACTGTGAGCAGGTAAGTAGCTCTCAAAACAAAGGCTGGATGAGAAAATGTACTGAGAAGAGAGAGGAAATAAATTACAGTCAGCCTATTTCTTGTAAGTCAGGCTCTGCTGTTTTCACCAGAAAGACGTCAGCATTTTGTGAGCAGGTGCACAAGAAGGTGCAGTAAAAAGCCCAAATTGTACTTGCACATGTGTAATGAAACATGCTTCTATATTCCGCTGCAAAGACCTGAACATGCTGTACCTAAAGAGTAATAAAGTGACTTACAGTATAGAGAATTTTATGTGCTATCCAGTTTCAGCTGCTCACCTTCCAGATTATGTCACCACATTAATCATTTATATATACGTTAAACATCGCAAAGGATTTAGTTACATAGAGGACACAGATTTGGTACTGGTGCATGAAATCATTTTAGTGAGGAACGCGGGCTTCTCCGTTTAAATTTCACGCTTTATAATCTGGGAAGCTGGAGGTCAGAGCTGCGAGGTTGTTGGCTGATGACTAACTTTAGATGGGGGTATTAAATCAATATATAGCCTGAGATTCAGACAAGTGCACAGAGGGAGTGGGTTGTATTTTGGCAGAAAATAGGAATTCTTTTTACATTAAAGAAACACATAGGGCTGTAGTTGATACTGTTCACCCAGTTGTTCTCTCTAGATGTCTTTCTCACACTGTGCACATGCAAACTGTGCTTCTGTAGAAAGCAATTATAAAAATGCAGCTGCACTTCAGAAAGGGCACAAAAGTAAAAACTGACCTAAGCATGCTGCAGCACACAGCGTGCTCACAACGAAGCAGGGAACAACATATATGCATCAACCTGTCAGCTGTCTTACAGCAAGTGAGCAAACGAGTAAATCCACTAGGAAGTTCAAATCGCACCAATAACGCTGATTATGACACCTAAAGGCCTTGTTGTCAGGCCTGGTCCGGTGTGAGTTACATAACTGGTCACTTTCCCTGTTCTGCACTCAGTTACATGGGAAGAAATGCACTGAGGGACATTCAAGAAGCTACTGTACCAGATGCCACTTCAGGAGTAGGTGGTCAGTGGCGCTGTCATTTGCAGTGGGTGGCTGATCACTGAAACATGTCACAAACTACTGACACATTAGGCTTAATCTGTTTGCCTGCTGCATCATATATCAAGTGTCTTTTTCCTCCCCTCAAAAAATGTGAATAACTCAACAGGGATCTTCTTAACTTGTTGCAGGCTGTTCATACAAGATAAGGTCGAAGGATGCAGCGTTGCACATATGCAAAGATGAAATTACAGTCAAACATCACAGGGTTTGGCCACGTGTGCATAGAAGACACACAAAATCACTGATCATGTTAATTTCAATGTAGAATGAAGTAAAATTTGTTACGAGACCAAACTGTCAAAATACTATGAGACCAAATAATTTCCACAAAAATTATTGTAATTAAGATCCAAACATCCTATTAGGGAAAAAACTCATCTGGTATATTTATAGCAGTGCTATTTTCTCTCTTATGATTGCGTTGCAGCACACAACAGAGTAAGAGAGAGAGAAACATGTCACCGGTAAAGCATAAAAGAAAAATATGGAAACAAACTCAGGTTGACTGAAGGTGAAACACTATAGATATGTGGATTTGTGGCCCAACATTTCAGATAGGCAATCTCTAATTTTAAGCTTGGTGACTTGTTATGGTGCCTGCAGTGACAGCCAGCCTACCTACATCCTGGTTATACAACATGATATTATAAAGCATGGCTCTTATTACTAAAAGCACAAACAGGATTACTGCAACGCAGCCTGCAGCACAAAACCTTTGAAATTTCAGGGATACTGACTGAGACAGATGTTCAGGGTCTACTGACAGTTATTTTGTCTACCATGTTCCCACCTCCACAAGTCAGGCCTGACAGATGAGAGCCTCCGCCAAACACCAAACTATAAATGTAATGAGCTAAAACAGCACAACTATTCAGTGGGAGGGAAGAGGAGTGAGTTTCCTTTAATGCAGGGGGCCTCTTGCCAAAATATCTCCTGTCACCGGCTGTTTGGCTTTTACCATATGTGTTATGTGATTCATTTTCAAGGCACACCAAGAGCCAAGATCACTGCTGGAGCCCAGAATATTTCTGAACATATGCTGGAGCGTGTGTACAACTAAAAATAAAACACTTTCCAAGATGGCAGGTTTTATTTTCACTTGTACATCAGGACAGATTGTAAATATTTTAACATGTGAGGTGAACACTTTAGGATTTAGTATAGAGAGTTAAAGACAAGCCCTCCCTCAAAGCCAGACCCATGTTTCTAATAGGAATTTGATCTTTAGACGACACTGTTTCTGTTTAAAGGCTCTAAAAACAGTCAAGCAATGGGCTCCTATGTGATCGCAGATTTGCTGAATTTTTGAATGGTCCCTGCTCAATGAACTGTAACTAAGGCTGCCAACCTTGTTGCTTATTTAGCCACAAATATTCAAAGGTTTCATAGAATTACTGGAATTTGTAAACCATGATTTCTGGGGGTTTATATTTATACAGAAGCAGGTTGAGTGCAGACACTGTCTTAACACCTGAAAAATGTAAAAACCTTTGCTAAAGCGAGCATCATACTAGCTGTATATCTATGACAGTAGACGTACATGACAGAGTCATGCAAAAAACTATGCAATCAATAGTGATTAGGAAATTTTCTTGCACAATAAGCATTTTGGGCATGGCTGCTTTGGTTTAGTAATTTTATAGAAAGATACCGAGCACTGAAGGAACTCAAACAGGACTTGGCTCTTGATGTTAACATTTCTAAAAATTTGTCTAAATGCAAAATAATAGTGATAATAATAATTATTGCTCATATGTACAGTAACCCCTCCTACTTTAAGCCATGATAAATCACATCACATAACGGTTGACTCCATGCTGACATTTGGTTTGATATGAAATATAATTCAGCTATAGCTCTAGGGAGAAAAGTTAAATTTAAATCAACGGCAGGTGTGGTGGATAATTGTGCTGAGCACTGCAGCTTGCATTTTTTTCTGAAGACTGTGACGAGAACATTTTCAGTAAAACATGCTATTGTGCGTATATACAGTAGTGTACAAAAGGCCACTAATAGATTTGTTTTGAAAACATTATGATGACTATATTTATTTCTCAGTCTCTTTATCAGAATATAGCAGAAAATATAGGAAATATGTACATTGTAATAAAAAACACAAAAATATTCCAGATGTGGTATTCAAGTTCAAGGTTGAGGACAAAAATAGGAGCAGAAACCCAAGTAAACTGTCAAAATCTGATGGGAGGTTTGTCAGAGTTTCTTCTTTGAGAGAATAGAGGAAATCTATCAAGGTCCTGGCTCCGCATCTGGCAGCTTCATATAGATGCCAAGTTGATCCTTCCACAGTCTGAGGACACTTGATCAGGAACAGCCTTTGAAGGACAGCAGCCAAAAACCACTTTTTCTGAAGGTGGACAGGCAGAAAAGCCTGATATACAGTATGCAAAAGCTTGCAAAGATTTGAGAGAAGATTAGTGGAAAAGGGGATTATGGAGTGAGGAATCAAAGCTTGAAATTTGCAGGTCAATCACTGACAGCATGTGAGAAGAAGAGTTGGAGAGAGGAGGAAGAATGAGTGCCTGTAGCCTTCAGTGAAACATGGTGGAGGGTCTGTCATGGTTTCAAGACTTCAACACATTCTCCCCAAAAGAATTCAAGCTGTGCTAAGTGCAAAGGAAGGTCACACTAAATACTTTGGACTCTAGAAGCCATTTTGTTCAGAAAACTGTGTTTATAGTATTGTGTACATATTTCCTACATTTTCTGGTTATATCTTAATAAAGAGACAGAAATAAAGATAATTGATCATTACAGCATTGCAAAAACAGCAAACCTAATGGTGACCTAAGACATTTGCACAGTGCTCTATAACGTTTTTAAACTGCACTATAATTCAGCCAATGTTAATGAGGACTGGGAGGCTGTAGCAGTGGCAGTGATTACAGTATAAAACTAAGCCTAACTCTTCACCCTGTTTATTTAAGCTTCTGCAGGTCCCTTGTTTAATTAGCACGTCTGTAAAGGATTCCAGAGATAGACATTCATCCCATGTTAAGGCCAACAGTTCCTATAAATGACACTGGTTGCTGCCTCTTACTGACCAGTTAGAGCAGCTGCACTGGTGGAGAGGAGGAATGTGCTTCATCTGAGCACTTTAGAGATGCTGAATTTCCACAAGAGGTTGTAAATAAATCCATGACAAGTGCCTGACACCTACGTTATTCACAGAGGGAATGAACAAAGAAAAGCATAATCCATAAAGAAATCCCAGAGTTAAAAAGATGGACGCCTCAAAATCAGAGAAGAATGTCAGTCAATATCACTGATTTACTTTTGAGCCATGCATATGCTTTGCTCAAGATTTCCTCTTTCATCTTGTTTTTTTGCTACAGAGCTTTCTGACTAAGCAGACCTCCCGAGGACAAGATGTGGAAGAAGTCCACAAAGGTGACCGATCAAACTGCCACCGGGCAGGCAGGTAAGTGCACAAAGACTGACGCCCTCTCTGGTTACGTCAGTTGCGGGTTGGTAATACAGCCGTCTCCACCTGTATTTCCTCGTGTCTGAGGAATGATGAAGAACAAATGGACACTTGACAACTAATCTACAAAATAAATATTCAAGTGACACTGCATTGACAAAAAAAAAAACCCTGCAAGATAGAAACAGCCTGAGAAAATCACTACATCTAATGTCTTGTCACGAAAGTACAACAACTATGAAGATGTGGGATTTCAGAATAATACTGTAATATGTCGACTGCTGACTGTCTCTGCTGAACGAAAAAGATAAGCATCACAGCCTTTTCTTTTGTGAAGTGAAAGCAGTTTTTCCAGTCCCTGTGCAGTATTGAATCATCCATGATGACAAAGAAACAACATCAAAGACCTTGTTGTGTCGACAAGGGTGCAGCTATTTGTAAAAGAAGAACCAGCAACAACAAGCCGTCTGAAAATATCATTCATCAACTTCTGCTCACCAAGGATGTCATTAGGAAAATGCTGGAAAAACTAATCATCACGGGCGTGACAGAAGCCATAAGACGAGAAAAAAGCTGTAATCACTGCACAAGAGCATGCTGTGAAACAAATGTAAAGACAAAGAATCTTCATTCTGAGTTTATCTGAAGAACAGTACTGACATAACGCTGATCAACAAAATCACCATGGAGGATCAATGCAACAATCGCTAGGATCTGCCACAACTGAAGAGCAAACTGAAAATGAAATGGTGTCCTTGAATGACAGAAGAGAGTATGAAGACCTATTTGAACTTTAAGTCCTACAGATTGCTTCGCTATAAAGTATCGAGACATAATTTCTCTCAAGCACTGTACAGTAATCATCCTGAGATGCCAGCCATGAAAAACGCCTGCTTGAAGTTAAGTCTAATCAGCAGTTGGACTGCACAACTCTTTACATGCTGCTATAACACTATATTGCTAACATAGTGTATTCAATTCTGGCTAACACGAATCATTTCTTGTTTTGTGATGTCTGAGGTCTCTGTTTTGCTCAGGTTGAGTCTGTGTTTGTGCTTCCCTCTCCTGGGTTAAATATCGTATACTGTTCTGTTTTGTGTTTATTATGTGTTCATAATCCTGTCGAAGTTCCAGCCTACCATGGTGCTTTTGTCAGGATTAATATTTACCTGCCCTGTTCCCTCTCTCGCTGTCTCATTGCGTGTTAAGTCGGCGGTTCTGAAGGAGTTCATCCAGACGACAAAGGTATGCGAGCAAAAAATTCTAACTGCACAAACGATCCGCCTTCTGTAAGTGCATGACTTCATGTTGGGTGAGTTGCATGTATGATGTGGTCTGTTTTGGTCCTTCAAAGGAGTCATCCAAAGTGGATGATTCAGCTTTCAGTGTCACGACAGATGCAGTTCACTGTGACATTTTAAACAAGCTCCTCATGAACACTAGCTGGAGAGAGTTGCACGGCTCTGTGACATATTGTCTCCACTTTTTCCTATAATTTAAAGCAAAAGTGCCACTTTTTAAACATATGCCCATATGCTAATTAGCCCTGTAAAGTGTGTTGGCACAGTTCAGTCTCAATAAGTGAGCTTGCTCCACAGGGACACCTTCAAAGGGTGGCATAATCTCTCTGAAAATCGAATTAATCTGACTGGCCATCCCTGTGCCCCTGCAAAACTGCAGAAATTTTCACGTTTAAAAATAATTAACTTGTAAATGTAAGTCAATACTGAATAACCACAAACAGCACAGTTTGGTAGCTCTGAAAAGATAACCAGTAAAATCACACTGTACCACAAACAGCACAGTTTGGTAGCTCTAAAAAAAAGATAACCAGTAAAATTACACTGCATTTGAGGCCGTAATGTTATACTCAAAACATCAATGCAAACAGACTAAGTTATGTTTTCTGTTTCCTTGAGATCTTCCTGACCCACATGCTCACCTTTGGCTTCAGTGTGACAACCACAACTGTCAAAGATACAAAACTGCAATTTCTACCATGCTAGCAGGTCAAAGCAGGTCTAAGAGAACCATGAGCTGCCAAGTTAACACACAACGTTGAGGTCTCCAGGTAATCAGCTGAAATGACACCCATGACCTCCAGCTGCCCTTAAGCCTCCCCCGACTGCCAGTAACTGCTGATTTCTTCTTACTGCTGTGACAAATACTCTAATAGAATGTTGAACAAGACAAGTACACAGTGCTCTGAGATATCAAACCTGTTTAATATAATTACTTTCAACGTGGTCATGAAGGTAACTAGAAGTTTGAGCCAAACATTTATTACTTCACCTCTACAAAAAGAAAGCTGGGTTTATCTTTGTAGCAAATTTCAAGAATTGTATACTGTAACTAGAGAAGTCCAGGACAAATAAGGCCAGTGAGAGACTATTTCCAATAGGACATTAATAAATCATTATCATTACTCACTGCTGTATAACATTAGGGGTGGAAATGTTCACAAAATTCACTCTTCAGTTCACATCATGGTGTTGGGTTCACAATTCGGTGCTATACATTTTTGGTAAAGCAGGAGAAGGGCACTGCCAATTTCAACATGCTTCTTATTTAACTAGCAAAAAAGCTAAATGTTTGCCTTAACATTCTGGTGGCCAAATGTATTTACTGCATGAAACAAAGGCCTTAAAAAGTGTTTTATAAGACCAAAAAGAAAGAAGCAGACAAGAAAAACAACTGAAAACCCCCCCCAAAAAAAAAAAAAATCTGAAAGATGAAAGCTAGAGTGATAAATAAAGGAAGGCAAAGTACTCAGGTGCAGGAACTTAATATTCAGTTTTAAATGTGGTCAGAGGTAGAAAACTGTTACATCTTCCGTAGACTTGCTCCATGTTTTTGGTAAAACTGTTCAATGGAAAGATACCAACAAACAAGCAAAACAACAACAACAAAACTGTTCAGTCAAGTACTACGCAGTGATGCATCACTGTTATTATACAGAATAAATGAACTCAAACCTCTTATCCACTGCTTTCATTTCTAGTGATTGTGCAGTCTAACAGAACAAAGAGACTTCCCTGTGCAAGTGCAGAAATATGATAAGAGCAGTTAAGCTATTTTTAGCCACAGGCATTTTAGATGTGAACTAGGCCTTCACCTTTTTAGTGAGAGCCACCCATGTACATGCTTGTACACTTAATGGCTGTCAAGATCTCTCGATAAATAAGGTATCAAGTTTGGGGATGAATGCAAATCATATAAGTGATAGTAAATCTCAGGAACGACGGTATCTATATAAATCTTTTAGCCAGTTCTACTCCATAAAATCTTTTCTGCTCCCTGCTGTGAAATCAATGCTCAACTTAAAAATGCAGCTTTAATTGCTGTTCTACATTAATAGGCTGATCAATCTTTCCATACAAAAATACTGCTTTCAGTGACATCTTTGCATTTCATTTCACCAGCTTGAACACTCAGCTTGTTAAAAGCAGCAAAACCAGTGTCATGTTATCAGCGCACTGCAGTTTACCTCAGATGCACTTCAAACTGTAAAATAATAGGGTACCCTGCTTATTTCTACTGACATAAAACCAAATATCCTGTAGTTTATATTCTGCCAATTACAGATCTTTTGTGCCAAGTGAAACTAATTAAAGACCAGGGATCCCTGCAGCAGCAGAACTCCTGTGATCAGCAGTCAGTGATGACAGCCCTGAGATTCCCGTGGATTAGTCCATATTGGTTCACTTAAGGTTTTGGGACTGCAAAACGCTTAAACCTGCGCTAATGCCCAATAACAAACACACGTTTTGAATAAGTCAACACATAAGCTAAGCTGGAACCATGCCATCTGTATTCTATTGACCTACAGCCCCCCCCCCAACATACACCCACAAACCACAATAATCCCTGTTTGCAAACCCACAAATTTAGACTGAACTGTGCTAAGAAATAAAAATAATCTGTACCGTATTGATAAAATATGGACATAGGGACTTTAACTTCAGATGTCACCCTTCAGGATTGTATATTCATGAATTGGATCTTTTGAAATATAAATTAAAGTTTAAGTTAAGTGTTAAGTTTAAAATGAAAAATCAACATGTCTAAAAATGACACTTTTATCAGAGAAAGTCTGTTTTTACATTACCTACAGGAGCTCCTGCCACTTATCTAAAGAGGCATTAATGTCTCATGGCTCTTAGCACATCACCACAAATAACTCCTTTAGAGTTGCAAAAAGAACAAAAGTGAAATTTATTAAGAAATTCACTTTTAATGTTAAGCAGACCATGTGCTTGTGCAAATGGACGCAAAAAATAAACCATTTGAAAATAAAGCCATTTGAATGACATAAGAATTAGTTGATAAAGGTTTTTTCTCTAAGTGATTTTGTTTTCTCTAAAATTTGAGACGACGAATGAGAGCTGAACATCAACTTTGTGACTCAGTTACATGTGATTTTGCAATACTAGTTCTGTTTATTACTAATGTTTATCAGAAATTTAAAAAAAAAAGCACTCCATACTGTACTTGACAAGCTGTATACATTTAGTTTAGGCCAAAGAGAAACACTATACAAACCATTAGGAAACATATAAATCTAAATACAGGTTTCATATCCTTTCTATAAGCACACTGTACTGTTGGTATTCAGTTCAATGACTTTCAGAGGTGGTCCCTGAAAGAAAGTCATTACGACTACTTTCATGTTTTAATGAATACTGTGTAAAAGAATTTTAGGGTTTTCCTGGTTCGGACCTTCTATTTGCTCACTGCACATCACCTTCATTACTATTTACCTTAAATATATATCATTTGTCTAATTTTAAATTTTCTCTTATTTGATTAGGCATCAGGAAGAAGTCAAAAGTGCCCGGTGTCACGATAACACAGTTTATGGAGGAACTTCCAGAGGGAATGTCAACTCCAGATTTCACCCGCAAACCTATTGCTCTGACTATCCAGGAGGGTAAGTCTTCATTGTCTCTTAGACATCAACTTAAGGCCATCTTAAGTAAAATAACATATTATTTATGCACCATCCCATCACAGTGCTTCAATATATTTGTGTGTTTTAGGTCAAATTTCTTGACCTAAAAATACAGCTGACAATAAACAAGATGCAGACTGATGTAGAGAAAAAGGGAAAAACTTCCATTTATACCGTTTTATACAGTATATCCTGAGAATGAAAAATATCCTCAACTCTCACACTGATTTAAGAAAGCATCAAAGTGCAAGTTCTTTTTACATATATAAAATATAGTGCACTCACACACATATTTACTCCTACACAAAGGAGTGGTAGCCTAGGTGGTGGAGCATGTAGAGCATTCATTTTAAAGTTGGTGGTTCAGTTCTAGTGTTTACATGCTGAATGCCCTTGATCAAGATTCGGAACCACAAATCGTGCCAGATGCCAGTTTATGTGGGTGTTAAAATTTAAGTTGCTGTGAACAAAACTAACTACTACAAAGGCAGCAATGAATGAACTGTCACTAACAAGGGAATCCTCATTATATCCTATTTCAGGTAAATTTGCAGTCTTTAAAGCCAAAGTAGCGGGCACTCCAACACCAACTGTATCATGGAGCAGAGCAAATGGAGAAATATTTTTTCACCCTGAAGTGTGCCTGCAAAAGTATAACCAGTCATCTCAAGAACATACCCTTGAGGTAAGTTTTACAGCAACAGTGAAGAGGATCTGCAATAAATTGCAAGACTCAAACTGCTTTCATTGATAATAAAAACTTGTGTTTGCATTTCATTAGTTTCCTAAGGTTGCTCCAGAGGATGCTGATACCTACAAGTGTTTTGCAACAAATGAATACGGAAGGGCTCTCTGCACCGTTGTCTTAAATGTTATTGAGGGTAGGGTTGTGATTATTCTTTGAATCGTTCTACTTTCTTTTCAGTCTTTTGGATAATAGTTGCATTATACAGCCTTCTGAGAATAAGGCAAACTTGAATACTTGTTGCAAAGAGGTGGTGAAAATAATATAATGATGAAAATAATGTATTGATTGTTTACAGTTGGATTTTCTAAGACCAGGGAACTTCAAAAAGCACAACGAGAAGGTGAGATTTCAAATATATTTTGACCCACTGAGTTTTATGTGAAATGGAGAAAAGGAGAACTAACCTCACACTATATATATATATATATGTTTTTTTTGCAAGGCAGTTTGTGTTTGTTGGTTTAAGTCAAACCATTTTAAGGCCCAAGTTATCACAAAAGAGAGAAATATACACTGACCAAAAAGCAAACAATCTAGCAATGCAATTAGAAATATTTATCATGTATTCACAAAGACTTTTGGGAAATGGAGGTGTTTAAAAATGAACAGAGGTTGATGGTTTTCATCTGAGCTACCAATACTTGTAATGATGCAGCAGCTCAGTTTCTCTGTGCTACAACCTAGCACATATATTTTCACAGTAAAATGACATTTTATCAGTCTGTCACTGTGCATCTGTTATATCAGTGCAGAGTGACAGACAGCGCAATTAAGGAAATGTTTGAACCTCACCAAAATCATGTAAGGTTAAATAAATAGTTTGTAATCGAGCAGCTTTATTTTTGTTATTACTTCCTTTTACCAAAGAATATCAGCAGAGATCAGAAAGATTAGATTGACACTAATTCCGCTTTCTTGGGCCTGAGCATATAAAGGAGATGGCTTAAAGTTATGTCGGCCTGTCAGTTCACATGTCCAGGCATTATACCTACCTGACATCACAACTAAGGAAACAAATCTGTAGGTTGTCAATTACAACAGACTGGGTACTTTCTCTATTACTCCTCTATTAAGCAAAAGAAAAAAATGAAATTAGATATTTTTGTAAAAAACATCACAGTATATATTAAAGGTTAAATTGTCATTTATGACAGTGACAGACTTTTTATTTAATTATTCATTTTTATGGTTCCCCAGATGCAGCAGAATTAAGAAAAAAACTTAAAAAATGGTGAGTTAAAAACTGGAAACTTTGTCCATTAAAACAAACTTTTCTTTTTTCCCTTGACATTCACTTATTTTTCTATGACAGCATGAAAGCAATTATTGTCAGTGGAGTTCAGGTCAATTAATGAAAGCTTTCACTCTGCAGTAATCCTGATGGAACTTGGAGGCAAAAGTCAATGGAGCCAGATGAGAAAGTCTGGGAAATTCTGCTCAGTGCAGACAAGAAAGACTATGAGCGGATCTGTCTTGAGTACGGTATAACAGACTTCCGTGGCATGCTGAGGAAACTCATTAGAATGAAGAGCGAGAGAGAGAAGGAGATTGCAGAGGTATGTGGCATAACAAGTGTGATTTCATTCTACTACGAGCATCTCAGAGAAAACCGTTTTAGCATCTCTTAATGTCACTTGTTTGTGTTTGATGTCCATCTTAAGTTATGTATCCAGAATCTTTTTTTTTAAGATAATTGTTTTTATTTGTTTCTTTCTACTGCAGTTTATCAAACACATCGGTAGACTGAAACATATTGAAGTCAATGATAATGGCTATGCAACAATTGAGTTGGACATGGACCTCAAAGATCCTAGCAGCAAAATTTTCCTGTACAAGGTGAGGTAGTGACCATTTACTTCAGTGCTATTTTACTGCTTTGCCTTTTGGAATTATTACAAAGATGGTAACATGTTCCTAAATTCTGCAGGATGGCGGCATGGTTCCATTCTCCCTAGAAGATGGCAAGGGGATGAGGCACAGTTTGAAACAAGTTGACAAGAGATATATATTCACAATTAAAAACCTAATTCCAGAGGACGCTGGTCTCTACTCAGTGGATGTTGGAAGTGTTAATGTATTCTCCACATATTTTAAAAGTAAGTCATCAATCAAGTGATTAAGCTTAGACGGTTTAAGTAAATTGTCACTTTCCAAGAATAACATACGTTTTTTCTGACAAAAACCACTTTTGTTCTTTTGATATTCAAGTTATTTCTAACCATGATTAAAACACACAATGAAACAGGCCAGCGTCCAGTGACCCTGAACAGAACAAGCAATTTAAAAAAATTGATAAGTGAAATTCAATTGGCAGTTTCTGCTTCTTTCTGTCTTTTCGAAACCCTGCAGTACCTGAAGTTGACTTTGCCTTCAAAATACAAGAGGTCAAGGCAGAGGAGCGAGAGGACGCCCTCTTTCAATGTGTCCTGACTGCACCAATGAATGAGATCAAATGGTTTGGCAAACAGGCTCTGTTGTCAGACTGTGAGAAGTATAAAATCATTGCATCTGAAGATAAGCTCATCCACAAGTTGATTGTGCAGGACTGTATGCCTTTGGATGCTGGTATATATTCTGCTGTGGCAGGAATCAATTCCTGCAGTGCCTGGCTAGTGGTTGAAGGTTAGAAAAACCATTCTCTTCCTACCTTTTTTAAACTTTGTGGATTTTTATGATACACTATGAATGCCAGATGCTTGATCAATGTAGAATAAATTGCATACAGTATTCCCTGACACTAAATACAGCAATTGTTTAATGCTGAATTTTACATTAACCTAAAAATCATAAATTATATTTTATAGCTGACAAAGATGATGCCAATATGGGCAAGAAAGCAGCTCGCAAAACTACCATGGCTGGAGGCGGTAATGACGAAGATCTTATGAGAATAGCTAAGGAACAGGGGGAAAGATACCGGAAAAAAATGGAAGAAAACAGGACAATTGCCAAGAATGCTGCAGAGGCAAGAAAAGCAGCTGTCCAAGCAAAGAAAGAAGCAGCTACAAAGGCAGTAGCTGAGGCCAAAGATGAGGCTGCAGCAAGGTCAAACAGGGAAGCAGATGGCAAGGATGGAGCTGCAGGAAAAGCTAAGACAAAGGACACCAGTGCTGCTGGTGGTGGAGGCTCCACTGCAAATAGTGCTGAAGGCACAGGTAGTACCAGAGGTGATGGTGGTGCATTGGGTGCCTGTGGTGGTGGAACCGATACTGGCACTGGTATAGGCATCAGAGATGGAGCTGCTAGTGGTGTAGGAGAACAGGCAGGTGCAGCTGGAGATAGAACTGGAGCCAGAGGAGAAGCTGGAGGCAGAGGTGGGGGTGGAGCTGTAGTTATAGCCAGAGATGAAGCTGGGGACAGCGGCAGAATTGGAAATGAAGACCGAGTTGGAGCTGGCACTAGAATTGGAGATGGAGTTGAAGTGGAAAAGGCAGCTGGAGTTGGAATTGGAGGTAGAGCTGGCGCTGGCGCTGCAGCAGGAGAGGGAGCTGGGATTGGACGTAGAGCTGGCACTGGCACTGGAGTGGGAGAGGGAGCTGAAGGTGCAATTAGAGGTGGAGATGGAGTGGGAGAGGGAGCGGGAGCTGGAGGTGCAATTAGAGGTGGAGCTGGAGTTGGAATTGCAGGTATAGCTGGAACTGGATTTGGAGAGGGAGCTGGAGTTGGAATTGGAGGTAGAGCTGGCGCTGGAACTGTAGCTGGAATGGGAGAGGGAGCTGGAATTGGACGCAGAGCTGGCACTGGAGCGGGAGAGAGTGCTGGAGTTGGAATTGGAGGTGGAGCTGGAGGTGCAATTAGAGGTGGAGCTGGAGTGGGAGTGGGAGATGCAGTTGGAATTGGAGCTTTAGCTGGAACGGGAGCTGGGGTTGGAGTGGGAGAAGGACCTGGAGTTGGAATTGAAGGTGGAGCTGGTGCTGGAACTGGAGCTGGAATTGGAGTGGGAGAGGGAGTTGGAATTAGAGGAAGAGCTGGCACTAGAACTGTAGCTGGAGTGGGAGAGGGAGCTGGAGTTGGAATTGGAGGTGGAGCTGGAGTGGGAGAAGGAGTTGGAATTGGTGGTAGAGCTGGCACTGGAACTATAGCTGGAGTGGGAGAAGGAGCTGGAGTTAGAATTGGAGGTGGAGCTGGAGTGGCAGAGGGAGGTGGAATTGGAATTAGAGGTGGAGTTGGCACTGGAACTGCAGCTGGAATGGGAGAGGGAGCTGGAGTTGGAATAGGAGCTGGAATTGGAGTGGGAGAGGGAGGTGGAATTGGAGGAAGAGCTGGCACTAGAACTGCAGCTGGAGTGGGAGAGGGAGCTGGAGGTGGAGCTGCAGTGGGAGAAGGAGGTGGAATTGGAGGTAGAGCTGGCACTAGAACTGCAGCTGAAGTGGGAGAGGGAGCTGGAGTTGGAATTAGAGGTGGAGCTGGAGTTGGAACTGCAGCTGGAGTGGGAGAGGGAGCTGGAGGTGGAGCTGCAGTGGGAGAAGGAGGTGGAATTGGAGGTAGAGCTGGCACTAGAACTGCAGCTGAAGTGGGAGAGGGAGCTGGAGTTGGAATTAGAGGTGGAGCTGGAGTTGGAACTGCAGCTGGAGTGGGAGAGGGAGCTGGAGTTGGAATAGGAGCTGGAATTGGAGTGGGAGAGGGAGGTGGAATTGGAGGAAGAGCTGGCATTAGAACTGCAGCTGGAGTGGGAGAAGGGGCTGGAGTTGGAATTGGAGGTGGAGCTGGAGTGGGAGAAGGAGGTAGAATTGGAGGTAGAGCTGGCGCTAGAACTGTAGCTGGAGTGGGAGAGGGAGCTGGAGAGGGAATTAGAGGTCGAGCTATAGATGGAACTGGAGCTGGAGTTGGATTTGGAGTTGGAGCTGGAGTAGGAGAGGGAGGTGGATTTGGAGGTGGAGCTGCAGTGGGAGAAGGAGGTGGAATTGGAGGTAGAGCTGGCACTAGAACTGTAGCTGGAGTGGGAGAGGGAGCTGGAGAGGGAATTAGAGGTCGAGCTATAGATGGAACTGGAGCTGGAGTTGGATTTGGAGTTGGAGCTGGAGTAGGAGAGGGAGGTGGATTTGGAGGTGGAGCTGCAGTGGGAGAAGGAGGTGGAATTGGAGGTAGAGCTGGCGCTAGAACTGTAGCTGGAGTGGGAGAGGGAGCTGGAGATGGAATTAGAGGTGGAGCTATAGATGGAACTAGAGCTGGAGTTGGATTTGGAGGTGGAGCTGGAGTGGGAGAGGGTGGGCACTGGACCTGGAGCTGGAGTGGGAGAGGGAGCTGGAGTTGGAATTGGAGGTGGAGCTGGTGCTAGAACTATAGCTGGAGTGGGAGAGGGAGCTGGAGTTGGAATTGGAGGTGGAGTTGGCACTGGACCTGGAGCTGGAGTGGGAGAGGGAGCTGGAGTTGGAATTGGAGGTGGAGCTGGTGCTAGAACTATAGCTGGAGTGGGAGAGGGAGCTGGAGTTGGAATTAGAGGTGGAGTTGGCACTGGAACTGGAGTGGGAGAGGGAGCTGGACTTGGAATTAGAGGTGGAGTTGGCACTGGAGCTGGAGTGGGAGAGGGAGCTGGAGTTGCAATTAGAGGTGGAGTTGGCACTGGAACTGGAGCTGGAGTGGGAGAGGGAGCTGGAGTTGCAATTAGAGGTGGAGCTGGTGCTGGAACTGGAGCTGGAATTGGAGTGGGAGAGGGAGCTGGAGTTGGAATTGGAGGTGGCGCTGGAACTGGAGTGGGAATTGGAGGTAGAGCTGGTGCCAGAACTGTAGCTGGAGTGGGAGAGGGAGCTGGAGTTGGAATTAGAGGTGGGGTTGGAGAAGAAGCTGGAGACAGCAGTAGGGGTGGAGTTGAAGGCAGTGGTAAAGGTGGAGCTGAAGACAGAGTTGGAGGTGGAGCTGGCACTGGAACTGGAGCTGGAGTTGGAATTGGAGGAGGAGCTGGAGGTGCAATTAGAGGTGGAGCTGGAGAAGACACTGGAGGTAGCAGTAGGGGTGGAGTTGGACCCAAAGATGAAGCTGGAGGCAGACGTAAAGGTGGAGCTGAAGACAGACTTGGAGGTGGAGCTGGCGCAGAAACTGGAGATGGATTTGGAACTGGAGCAGGAGGTGGAGCTGAGGCCAGAACCAAAGATGGACTAGGAGACGGAGCTGGAACTGGGGTTGGAGCTGTAGGTAAATCCGGAGTCAGAGCTAGAGCCAGAGGTGGAGCTGGAGGGAGAACTACAGCCAAAGCGGGAGGTGGAACTGAAGCTGGAGCCGCAGATGGAAGTGGAACTGGAGCACTGGGTGGAGCTGGAGCAATAAGTGGAGATGGAGGTGGAGCTCAAGGGGGAACTAGAGGCAAAGCAGGAGCTGGAGATGGAACTAAAGCCGAAGCTGGAGCCGCAGATGGAACTGGAGCTGAAGCAAGGGGTGGAGGTAGAGCTCATGGGGAAAGTAGAGGCAAAGTGAGAGGTGGAGAGGGAACTAGAGCCAAAGCTGGAACTGAAGCTGGAGCAAGGGGTGGAGCTGAGGCTGAAACCGAAGTTGGAGTGGGAGCTAGAGATGGTACTGGAGCCAGAGGTGGAGCTGGAGCTGAAGGGGGAACTAGAGCCGAAACTGAAGGTGGAGCTAGAGCTGGAGCCCGAGCTAGAGGGGGAACTAGAGCTGAAGCTGGAGCTGGAGCTGGAGCTAAAGCCGAAGCTAGAGGTGGAGGTGGAGCTGAAGCTGCAGTTGGAGCCAGACTTGGAGGTGGGGAGGGTTTGGGAGAACATTTTGATGCAGAAGAATTCAATTCATTAGAAGGTTCTGATGAAAAAATGGAGGAAGAGGAAGTAGGAGAAGGAGGAACATACAAGAAAAGCATGAAAGATGATCCACATGCAGATACAGCGATAGGTAAGAAATGAATTCATAATGTACATTTAAAAAACCTAATATCAAAAATTGCTTCCTATTCCTTATTCTTCTAAATACTTATTGGGATGTAATACAACACATTTTTTTTTAATAACATAACTTTATAACCGAGTATCAGACTATTTGTAATTTCTCATTTGTGCTGTGTTGTGCCATTTCCCTCGATATCTTCTCAACATTTTACATTACTGTTTGTCTTTTTTGTGAACTTTCATTTGAAAAGTATATCAATGTCTTTAATAATATTCTTAAACATCTTAAAGGATTTTAAAATTATTTTTCAAAATATGAACTAATAAGGAGTTACTCAGAGTAGGCAATTGAAAGTGTATACAGTATTTCTATTTATGCCAGTCAAGTCATCATTAGGTCAGCATTTTTATAATGATAGCAAATGATTACAGTTGGATGTATATAAAAATCTGTACAAATTTTGTTTATTACTACTAATAGGAGATAATGAAGATACCACAAATCAACAAGGTGAAAAATCTGTGAAAAAAGAAAAACACCCCAAAAAGAAAAATATGGAGATTGAAGAACCGACTGGTAAGAGATGTCAAAGGTTGCATGGTGCAGATTTACTGACCATTAAAGTCATTTGGGAATGAAAATGATGCTGACATCAGAACAGTAGAAAATTCTAAACACTTCATAAGTTAGATGCAGCTGCATGAACAATACATATATATAACACTGACCAAATTAAAACCACTGACACTGCTCCGCTTTGCAGCCATATACGTAGTTAGCTAAAGAGCCTACGCTAAAGTTATCGTGTCCTGCAAAATTTAGCTGCTCACATGGTGTTCAACTTAAAAGCCCCAAGTATGTGTTCAATGTTCGTTAAAAGTATGCAGATAGCTTTTATGCCTTTTTGGACAGAAAGTAGTACAGCATGTACATGTTATGCTAAATTCTACCTTTCCTCTATCTAATCCTTTAAGGAAAAAGGAATAGATATTGGTGTACAGTATACTGTTTGTGTGTGTCTTTATGTTGTTATTGTCGCAAATCAATGCACAGAAAAAATTGCTGAAGTGCCAAGAATCATTTATTAAACAATAACATTGATATATGATTTGAAGGCAGGGTACAGGATCAGCTTGTTAATCTCTGTGGTCTTAGTCTCTTTCCAGAGAAGTCAGTCTCGCCAAGTGTCTTCTCCCCGGGTCTTCATGCACTTGTGTGCGGCTGACCAACTCTTTGCTAACTTTATTCCGCTTCCTGCCTTTGTTTTCCCAATTGCGTCAATCCTCAAACCCGGTTCTCTTTTATGGGGACACCCAACAAGATATTCTCAATAACAGGAAAGGCTGACTGCCTGACTTCCCCCAGACTTTACCAACACACACATTTTTATAGACCAAAGGTCAATGCCTGCTGCTGTTATAGAAGCACTTTAACTAATACTATAAACCACTCTAGTGTATTTTATCCCATATTACATGCTCCATTAATAGCATTAACTGTTAACTATATTCTGTTTGTTTTATCCACTACATTATGAATACCTTCATTAATTCATGTGGAGGATGAAGAAATGGAAAAGGTGATTTGTAGATGTTGCCTATATTCACAAATTAATCTTACCATCTTACCTACACTGTCAAGTTTGTTTAATACTACTAAAATCAAAATTAAGTGCCAGCACTTTATTATATACTTCTTGTGATAAAATGCATCCACATAACAAGATAGTTTATAGTAAAGCATTATTAACTGCAAAAACAAAACTAATCTACAAGGCCCTTCAGTTACCCAAGTCCCTTCGCAATGACATCATTATGGAAGTGACCTTTTGTACCACCCTCTGGTTGAAGTTAGTTTGTTTGTTCTATTGCTCCTATCTGTCTTGTTTTCATGCTCTCTGACATTTTAATTTTGTTACTTTTTTCATTAATGTTATTTGTAAGGAATATCCAACAGCAAATGAGAAACATTGGATTGATGGCAATTATGATGATATCCTCTAAAACCGAAAAGCAAAAAAAAAGAGTGAAGCCATTGGTGCCAGTGGTGAGAATGGCACCGGGCCAGCAGCATGCAGTGATGAATCTGCTGAAAATGGTGAGGGTGCAGATGGCGTCGAGCCAGCAGCAGCTGGCAAGTGCTCAGGCCATGCATGACAAGGCCCATTGATTGAGGAGTCAATTAGTGGTAAGATTACAGGCGCTGCATTAACTACTGCATGGGAAGGAAGCACTGTCTCCGAACAAACTCATTTGATGAGCAGATTACTTTTTCAGGGTTTCTGACAGTTAAGAGAAAAAGTGTGCAACCACTGAGCAGAACGCTAGAATGTTTGCCGAGTTTAGAAGGAGTGGATTTAACTTTGAGAGTGCCTTCAGAAAATGCTAATCAAATTTGATGAACCAGTTAATTTTGCCTGTGTAGTTATTTTTTCATTTGTTATAATACTTCAGTCTTGAACTTTGGTTATATAATTTCATTCCTGCAACCTACATGTTCAATATCAGCAGGCAAGATATTGTTTAATAACTGTGTCCAGCCCTGTCTTGTATGTATTATGTGTTTTACAGAATTTGTGTCTATGTATGTGAGTAATGTTGAAATGCATCTTCGCTTTGTGTGCATATGTCTTAACAATCTTGTTTGCCTTTTTAATTGTTAACTCAGGATAAGTCAGTGCATTGAGATTAATTATTTAAATGAGAAACCGCAGAACGGATCATGTTCTTGATAAAACTGCAACATACTGTATTTTGACGATGGAAGACAGCCTGAGAGGACCGGTTTCAGTGAAGACTGATTTCAGATCAAACAAACAAAATGCTCACTTCCTCTACTGAACTCTCAGTCCTGAGTGGGATATTTTATATCTTAAGAAGGCGTGTTTCTTTCAAGCCTAACTAAGGGAACAAAAGCAAAAGGATTCCTCCATGATGACATTCTCATGAACTGTGCCCAGAACTCAACTCTGCAAGCTCTGAAGTTGAAGAAGACCACTCCCATACAAGACAGTCAAACTCCACTTTAACCAAGATGACACCTTCATAACATTTAAAACTAAGGAAAAGGGTGCTCTTCTTACATCTCTTATGAACTTGGATCTTACATTCTCCTCAAATATTAATCATCAGATGTCAGAAAATATAAGTACTTAAAAAGAAAGTAAGGTAAGTGTGTACACACTTGAATTACACACAAGTGCACAGATCTATGACAACAATAAGTTGACCTGGAAGAGATTGGGACCAACTGGTCCAAATGTGCATTTCAGAGGTAAACAATACAATAAATATTCTGATACATGGAAACAGGATGACATATGTTTGTTTAAAAAGTGAAGTGTGTACAAATTTGAATTACATACAAGTGCGTACACCTTGCATTCTTCCATAAATTAATGCATGCAATTCCTCGTAATTTTAGATCCACAATTTCAAAAACATGAAAGAACTTAAAACACCTTGTTGTAGAATCTGTGCATTAACTAACTTGCTGGTTGATAAATCCACAGACCCAGGAGTTCACTTTCAGTCCGGGCTTTCTGACTGCAAAGCCATTATCGGAGAAGCAGCAGAGCTGGAGTGTAAACTGAGCAGTGAAGACTCTACAGGAATCTGGTACAAAGATGGAAATGAGGTAAGCCTAGAGACTAGCTGTGGTCATTATGTAGCATAGAGGTTTTGATGTTACTGTGGCAATAAGGAAATTAGTGACCATCTTGTATTCTTATACATTACATACATTCATTAACTGTTTATTTAGTTAAAGTAATATGTTCATTTATTTCCAGATTAAATCATCTGCGGGTATAACAATTTCAAAAGAAGGAAGTTTTCACAGGCTGAAAATTCACAAAGTCTCAGAAAAATCTGCTGGAAAATATAAATTTGAAGCAGAGGGACAGAAGACAGAAGCCTTGATTATTATTGAAGGTACAGCCTTAAAAAAAGTACTTCCTTTCCATACAGGGCCTGCATCATTCATTATGGAGTACCCACTGGTCAAAGTCATGAAAAAGTGATTTTTGAGAGTAATGTGTACAATTCTAAAGTACCACATAGCATGACACTGCTTAAAATATATGCCTATATGTTGTATCCATAATTTTAGATCCTCCCAGATTTGATGCAGAGGACCTGAAAGCATTTAAAACTCCTGTAACTGTAAAAAAAGGACACAAAGCTACCTTCAAAATATCTTATACTGGACAGGAACCTATAAAGGTTTCTTGGTTCCTTGAGGGTGAAGAGCTTTCAGATTCAGGAAATATAAAGATAGAGTTTTCAGAGGGTTATGGTCGTCTGCTTCTAAACAAGCTGCAGCGCAAGGACAGCGGTGAAGTCAAGGTAAAACTCAAAAATGAGTGTGGTGCAGCTGAGGCCATCAGCCAGCTTGTTGTTCTAGGTATGTATTGCAAATATTTAATAAAAACTCAAACATTTTTTTCATATAGTATTTTGCATGCACTCACAGCCACATTCAATTACAGAATACAAATATCTACACTTTGTTTATTGTGTTCAGCACAGATTAATTCAACTTTGTCTTCTGACAGATAAACCCACACCTCCGTTGGGACCTCTGGAGATTGTTGAGGCAACCGCCTCTGCAGCTGAATTCAAATGGAGACCCCCAAAAGACAATGGTGGCTGCAAAATAAGCAACTATGTCCTTGAACGACAACAAGTTGGCCGTAACACGTGGAAGAAGATAGGGCCAATTGGTCCAGAGGCCCAATACAGAGACACTAATGTAGATCGCGGTAAAAAGTACTGCTATCGCATCAGAGCAGAGACTGAAGTGGGCACCAGTGAGCTGATGGAAACAGAGAACATTCAAGCCGGTACAAAAGGTAAACTCAGATCAAAATTATGCTATCTGAGAAGCAACAATTAAAAACATCAAAATTTTGTAGCAATTTCAAATAATTTCAATGGAACTGAGTCACCAAACACAAATCTCTCATACCTAGTTAAACTCTGGTGATCTTTTACAAGCAATGATCAGATACATTTTTCTGTGGTATTTTCTGGTGTTATCAGAACAAACTCCTTTAATGGATGGAAAGGGAATACAGAATGTCTATTAAATTCCTGTGGTCAAGAAGATCTCAAAATGCAATGACATTACATTGATCCAACATCATGATCGATATTCCCATAATACACACAAAAAAAATCTTAAACTGACGCTTTCAGACCAAGAAATGATCAAATCCCAATCTCTTGTGTGTACAGCATACCCTGGATCTCCATCAGCACCAAAGGTCGTCAGTGCCTCCAAGGAATGCATCACCCTCTCTTGGTCTCCTCCCTCCGACACCGGAGGAACCAGTATTCTGGGATACAATCTTGAGAAACGCAAGAAGGGCGGCAGCAGCATGTGGGGGCTAGTCAACCCACATGATGAGATGATCAGAGGTTACTATTTTATTCATGCTAACTTAATTCAATTTGTGTTATGATGCCCATTATAACACAATAATTAATGTCTGTCATTCCTGCATTTCATACTGTATGTACATTCCCTATACAGCTAAAGAGTTTGCTGTTAAAGATGTGATTGATGGCATGGAGTACGAATTCCGTGTATCAGCAATCAATACTTCTGGAGCGGGTGAATACAGTACACCATCTGAGTTTGTGTTTGCTAGAGACCCTAAAAGTAGGTGGACATTTATCAATATTATGTCTATTTAATCATACTAATAGCCTACTTCAAACTGCTTATAAATTGCAGCGCTGACTATGAATCATGTGTTGCAGAGTCTCCTGGTAAAGTCACTGACTTGAAAGTGACAGATTCCACATACACAAGCCTGTCCCTGTCTTGGACCAAACCCAAGCAGACTGAGTATGAGGATGAAGCCCAAGGATATTTTGTGGAGGTCAGGCCTGCAGAAAGCACAATATGGGAACGCTGCAACCTAAATGCAATAACTATGACTTCCTATACAGTGAAAGGCATAAAGTCACTGGGCATGTACTGGGTGAGAGTCATTGCTGTTAATAATGGAGGACAGGGACAGCCACAGGAGCTGGATAGATACATCCTTGCAATGCCTCCTCCTGGTAAGAAATTAACTTCAAACTATTTATGGTCAAATATTGATAAAATCTTGTCTTTTTGTTAATCTAAAGAAATGAATCAGCCCAAAGTTACTTTGATCAGGATAAATAAAGGAGTATCAGCACTGGGCTACATAAGAACCAGTAATAAATATTAGTCCAAGTCAAATGTATAAGAATTGATTACAGCTGTACTCAACTGTATATTGCACTATATTATATTATAATAAAAAGAATGAGATTATTCATTTTTCTATTTTTTCAGAGGCACTGTGATTTTTCTGGTTTGCAAGAAAACAAATGTTAAAATCAGTATTAACGACAATGTTTAACTTTCACCCTGCTGTTCATCTAGTGAGGCCACGATTTACAGATTCCAGAACCAAGAGTTTTATTATTGTGAAAGCAGGAAATTCTGCACGATTCAGCATTAAGTATGAGGTAATTTAAGAATTATTTAAGATTATTTATATCCATGACAGTGCATATACTGTACATTCGCTCTACTTAATCTTATTAAGAATCTGACAAAGTGATATTTTCATATTCTTTGTAGGCCTCGCCTTGGCCTGAGATCACCTGGCTGAAAGATGGAATGCCAGTAACTAAAAACGTATTAATCAGCAATACAGAGACTATATCTCAGCTTCTGATTCCTTCGTCTGAGCGGTCACATAGTGGAATCTATACTATAATTATCAAGAACGCCTTTGGCCATGCGACATTCAGCACTGAAATTAGAGTCACAGGTGAGCTGGGTAAAATATACTGTACCCTTTTAGTGTACATACATTAATAGTAATTATTTGATTCCTACTGCATGAACTGCAAATAAAAAGGAAAACAAAAAAAAATCACTTTTGTCTTTGTACCCCAGATGATCCTAAGCCACCAGGTCCCGTGGAGATTGAGGAAAAAGTGCCTGGTACAGTGACGCTTTCATGGACCTCATCTCCAGATGAAAAACGTGATGACAGGCTGAATTACATGGTGACTAAGTGTGATTCAGTCAAAGGAATATGGCAAACCGTTGCAGATAACATCTTCAACAATAAATTCACAGACTGCGACATAATGCCAGGTCGTGAATACAAGTTCAGAGTCTATGCAAAGAATGAAATGGGCTCCTCCAAACCCTCTGAGTCACCAAAGTGGCTGATTTCCACCAAAAAAGGTCTGTAAATGTTCTCATGTTCATCTAAAATTAGAGACCCCTATCTGCATTTGCGTAAACACTGTATTTTTCACCAAGACAATCCCATCCATTCACTTCACTGAGCCAGGAGGCTACAAACAAAGTTGAAATGTCTGTCCTTTCTTTCCTTATGCACCCATCACAACATGCTTCATTACACAAGCAAATTTACTATACTGAATTTGAAAAGACTGATGCCATGGACCCATACATAGATGTACCACATATACTGTATTGTGCCAATGTGTTGTAAAATTGGAGTGTAGGCTAAGAAAAAATTCCAGGTACACATTTTTGGACAAATACAACAACAACGTTCAGGCATGAACACATTCCTTTTCTGCTTGCATTAAGAGTTAACTACAATAGTTAACAAAAACAGTCTGTCAATATTCAGCCTGTATGTTTGGTTTCACCAAAACCTCTATGCACTGAAAGTATTGTATGTGCAATTTTTCCAGTCACACTTAACTAGGCCAATGTTCTTTTGTTAGATTAATAAAATTCTAATTTGATGCAATTCATCCGAACTTTCTTCCAGAAAAGTTCACCGTGAAAATGCCAGAATCAAAGGCCTGTGATCTACAGTGTCCCCCCAAATTCCTTGTCCCTTTGAAAATGCACACTGCTCCTGATGGCTATGAATGCTTCATGAGCTGTGCTATAACAGGGGATCCAACACCACATGTGACATGGCTCCGCAACAATATCAGCCTGAACACCGACACCAACTACTACATCTCCAACACATGTGGAGTATGCTCTATGCTCATATTGAAAGTTGGAACTAAAGACACCGGAGAGTACAAGGTTGTAGCAGAAAACAATCTGGGGAGAGCAGAGTGCGCCACTCAACTGTCAGTCAGAGGTAAATATTTACCAGAATCTGCATATACTTTAAATGCGCTGTCACGATGTTCTAAAATGGTATGACCTTTGAAATCTGAAAGTAATAACGGCCTTTGTATTTTTTCCAGAATGAACACACTGGAGATATTAAAATGACCCTAAAACCCAAACACAATCAAAGTTGTTGGATATTCACAGGTAGTATATGCGTAGTATATCTTACGAGTTGAGCCACCTCTGTCAAATATAGAATGCTGCAGTATTTAATGTAACCTGTGATTCCTTTTAAGTTGTTTATCATGTGATTAACAAATGCCTCTATAAAGTGGTGGTTACCGCAGTAATGTCTTAGACATACAAATATTGCTGAAAAAAAAAAAAGCCACATACACGTTGTTTGTTTTGATTTCAATTGTCCAATCTCAATAAAAAAGGTAGCTTGAAATACTAAAGTACAGTCTTGTATATTTTATCTGTAATAATATGCATGCTAAACTAAATATATATAGCACAGGACAATGTCTAGCAGTGATTTATTAATTTTAAAAGTGCTTACTGAAAGGTGACGGCACAGTGGATTAAAAGAATTTAAAAGAAGGTTCCCAGTTTGAGCCCGGGCCGTCCTGGGGCCCTTCTGTGCAGGGTTTGTATGTTCTACCTGTGCCTGCGTGGGTTCTCTCCAGGAGGCCCAGCTTCTTCTCACAGTCCAAAGAAATGCAGCTTAGGCTGACTGAGGACTCTAAATTGCCCGTCGGAGTGTGTGTGGTTGTTTGTCTACATGTCAACTCTGTGATAGACTGGTGACCTCTCTTGCCCAGTGCCAGCTGGGATTGGCTTCAGCCTCCCTGCGACCCTATTCAAGAATAAGTGGCATAGATTATAGATGGATGGATTATTGAAAGGTGTCTGCCTGAAGCTTAAGCAGCCATCTGCTTGTGTCTTCAATTCATTTTAGATACAGGTTTCTGTCCAGCAGAAAATGCTCTCATGTGTATTAAGACTCACCACCATGCTTCACCAAAAATGTACAGAAATATATGATGGTACACTTCGACACACTGCGGCCCAGGGTCAAGCATTGACGAAGCAAACAAGTGGCAAAGTTTAGGCCATTTGTTCATCTCCATGAAATTTTATGTGAATTATTTGTGGGGTCATATGTAAGTCCATGTTTAGAGTCGATAACGGTCAAGCACCTAAGACTAAAGCATGACCAGTGCAGGATGACACTTCTCTGTTTTAAAGCTACATAAGTTTTAAGTTACAGAACTTATGATGATGCTAAAGTAAATGCAGTTTGTTGCTTTCTGTTTCAGTCTAGCTAAACATTAGAAATAACTGAGGCTCATCAGTAGAAAAATGAGGTTAGTTTTAATTTTGTTAGTTTTTTCTGACATGTCCTAAGTAGTGTCAGGGAAAATAAGAACATTAATACAAACTGCCACATTTTTGGGAGAGTCTTAAAGCAGTTGAAAATTATGGTCCATTCATTATGACATTTCTAAGGCACAAAACACGAATGTAAAGAGCTCAAAACAAAATTTAACAACTGACACTTGCCTCTTGTTAAATTTTGGGATGAAGATCAGGCAGCCTACATGTACAGCAAAGCTAATTTAGAAGCAGCTCAACCCCAAAGCACTTCTGTGTCACCTCCCTTGAGACTTTCCTTTTTAATAAGAGCAGCCAAAAGCAGCCTTCTGCAGCACTAGCACTGGAATTCCAGGTTTCAGGGAGGGATTAGAATGCTTCAATGTCTGCATTTCCTCTGGTGGCCCCTTTTCAGGAACCTATAGCACTTTAGGGCCAAAGTGCATGCCAGTAAACCTATCCTCAAGAGCCACAATAAAAAATAAAAATAAAAAAGCAGTGGGTTAGCTTGCTCTGAGACTCGCTCTAAAAGATCTATGCTTGGATATTTTATCAAAATCAGCTATATATGTATATATGTGTTTAAAAATGGTAGTGAGGTTTAATTAGTTATCTTAAGTCAGAATTCCTGTTGAAGTCTTGACAGCAACTACTTTGGCTCCAGTTTCTCTCAGGCTGTTTGACAAAACTCTCAAACTAATGAACTGTAATAGTGTTGGTTATATTAAATGGTTTTAGGGAATAAGAATTCTGAGTCTGATGTTCTCATAATACAAATAAGACAATGTTTATGAAAGATCTGTGCAAGAGAGTAGCAGTAATTGATTGTCAAACTACAGAAAAAGACACTACAAACATATTCATACTAAATTCATTCCTTTAAGGGTTACACTGCTTTGCTAAGCTTTAAAGTGATACTTCATGTAGCATTTTATCACAGACAAATGTAGACTGGTGACCTGTCTAGAGTGAACCCCGCCTTTCACCCAATGTCAGCTGGAACTGGCTCCAGCCTCGCCACAACCATCTTCAGGATAAGTGGTATAGATGATAGATGGATGAATCACAGACAAATGACCAAGTTACATTGTACACTCTCTTCTGTTTACTATAATGCAGCTCAGAAATTTAAGACATAGGCCTGACAAGCTATTCATAAATCAGAACTTTCATAACAGCCTCAGCAGTGCTATTCCTCTTAGACAAATACAGTTTTACAGCAGTACACCAATTCTACAAAGCTATGACATATGCAAGCCCTTCATCAGGAGACAGAACCCAGCACAATTTAGTTTAATTAAACATAATGGGCCAGTGAACGCTACAGTATACTGTTATGATTACATTGCTAACTCCTATTTCTGTGATATACACTTTGAGTCCCCCTGGTAAAGTTATTGACCTGACAGATGCCACATACGCCATCTTATCACTGGGCTGGACCAAACCCCTTGTTGTTCATAGGCCTCTCCAAAGCCAACAATTACATGGCTCAAAGATGGCTTGCCTGTAGCCAAGCATGTGACAGTGAGCAACAGAGAAACATCATCACAGTTAATTATCCCTTCATCAGAGCGCCATGATGCTGGGATCTACACAATCACTGTCAAAAATCTTGTTGACCAGGAGACCTCTAGTTTTGAAATAATAGTCACAGGTACGTTGAAACAGAATCTAAGTTAATCCATAACAATCTAGACAGAACTCAGAGTGCGCAGATCTCCACCAAGGGCTGCTCACTTTCCCCATAATGCCATTACCCCTAAAAGCTAAATTCCCATGATAGTTTGATCCTCATAATATGATTGTTTGACCATGAAGATCTATCCCAGTATTTGACACTGATTATCACTCTTAGTTTGAAAGTTATTCAAGAAAAGACACAACAGATGATGACTTGCTGGTTTAGGGGTAAAACTGCTTGTTCAACAGCTGTTTGATAAACTGCTCATACAGTCTCCATTACTGGCTGACTGTTGCACTATGGAATGAAGCACAGCCCATCTCTCTCTTCTAAACAGAGACCAACACAATGAAGAATACAGCGGAAAAGCAAAGTAGGGCGGTCCGCATCAACCCATGAGGCTATGCCGGGTGACGGTTAATGGAAGCATGGAGTGTACCGCTTGTTAGGTTCCGACAGTGGAAACGCAGCTGGAACACTGGTCGCTCCTGACAGAATACTGTGCTCTGAACGAGACGTATCTGCCTGCTACTAGAACTAGTTTGGTCCACTAACCACTTCTCACAACTTCCAAAACATCAGAACAATTTTCTAAACCGGCATCACTTGGACAGACTGACCAAACATTCTTAATCTAAGTGGTTACTCAGTCACCTGGAAAAAATGTCAACGCTGAATAAATTGGCATAATACCAGTCCTACAGATGAAAAAAATAACAGCTTTAAGTCTAGATTAAAATCTGATTGGTTGTCGCTGCATAAATCTTCCCAACTGGCTGAGCTCCTTCAGTTTCTGTCTTGCACAATGGAGTGTACCTGGTCACAGCACACTGACCACGAATGGGCAGCTCTCGCTGCTGGACTTTGTCTCTGTATGTGCTCAAAGTGTTCAGTAGCACAGCCGCACACTTTGGCCACAAGGGGGCTCATATACAGTCAACAGCATTCCCAGCACTCACAATGGCGAATAATCTTTAAAAACATTCCCATATCCAAATTATATGCCAATTATGAAAAATATCAAGATGCAGCAAATCGATTCCTACCCACTTCTAGATGATCCCAGGTCCAGTGGAGCTGGATGAGAATGTGTTGGGAACAGTGACGGTCTCCTGGACTCCCACTCCAGATGAGAAGAAAGAGGAGCACCAAGTATGATTCGGTTAAGCACACTTGGCAAACCGTAGCTGACCATCTTTTCAATTAACAAGTTCACTGCCATCAACATCATACCAGGAAGGCAGGACCAGTGCTGGGTCTATGCCAAGAATGACATGAGGCTTTCCAAACCCTCTGAGTCAGCAACCTGAGAAGTGAAGAGAAAGAAAGATAGGTTGAACAACAGTGTGTAGTTTGTGTAGTACAGAGTGAAACAATTAGTCAAATAATCCATTAGATGTAGATGAGTATGCAGCTGCAAAGAATCACTCAAATTAGTCACCACCTATTTTGATCATTTCAGTAACATAGTGAAAAATGATTCAGTAATTAGTTTTTACTACATTTGAACTTTTCTCTACTTTTTGATCATTCCAGAAACATTTTCTTTGAACGTTCCCATCAGTAAAGACTGCAGCTTTGAGATGTCCCCACCTTTCTCTGTTCCACTAAAAATGCGCAACAGTCCACAAAGCTGAGTGCTACATGAGCTGTGCAGTGACAGGAAACCCCAAACCCCACGTTACCTGGCACAAAAATAACATCAGCCCTACCTACTACATCACTAACACGTGTGGTCTGCTCCATGATGATGGTCAAACTTAGACCCAAGAACAGTGGGGATTACACAGTCAGCAGAAAACCCACTGGGCAGAGTAGAGCTTTCGACTAAACTCATTGCATTTTTGTTGCATCTGTTCCTTTGACAAATTTTCCTCCTCCTCCATCAGATTAGGATTTTCCTTTGACAAATTTTCCTCCTCCTCCTCCATCAGATTAGGATGAAGTACTGGTCCTGAACTCCTGGTTGATAACCTGATCGACTGAGAGGAACAAAATAAAAAGGATTTGCCACTTTAAAACCTAGCATTATGTGTGTGTGTGTGTATTGTGCTTGAACTAAACTGTGAGAAATAAAGTGGAGATGACAGTGGACTTCAGGATGAACCCTCCCACCTTAACCCCTCCCTCACCATACTTGGCAGCACTGTATCAGCAGTAAAGTCCTACAAGTTCCTGGGCTCAACTATCTCCCAGGACCTGAAGTGGACGTCCACTCAGCTACCAAACAGGACAAGTACAGACTTCAGCCGACAGTCAGGACTGCAGAAAAGGTCATTGGTGTGAGCCTTCCATCCATGGAGGA